AAATAAATAATAGAAAATAAACTCGAGAATTAAAAGTAAAAATGTAATATTTTCAAATTTACGTGTAATTAAAATATAAAAAACAAAAAAAAAATGTTGATAATAAAGCAACAAACCTAGGGAGCTAGCTTTTTATCCGTGGAAGGGAAAAAGGGCAACTAACATAGGTGGCTAGCTTGCTTCCACGGGTGGCGTGACGTGACGAGATCATCCACCCACTACAAGAGTAGAATACTTGCTTAGTCAAGTAGAAGGGCTAATCTAAGAGCGAGACAAACTGGAAACTGGCTGAGATTTCAATTTCAATGACGATTTTATCAGATATTTTACAACTGAAATCCCTCTAAAGTCACCTATAAAGAAGAGGAAAAGAAACGTGCTCGAGAAAGGTATCTTTGAACTCGAGAAGCTAAAATCAAGGAAAATTTACTAATTTAAATTCGATGATAGGAAAAAAAACCCAAAAATTAAATGCAATATTTTGAAATCTACGTGTAATTAAAATAGAAAAATATGAAAAAGAAAATTAATCTTCTTGATAATACCATGCGAAAGTTTAATTAGAAATCATTATAAAAAGGAAGAACAGAGAAAAGTGGAGCAGGTCAAGAGTGAAGTGACAGCAAAAGGCGGTTTTACGAAGCAACGTGGCGGGCGCTAACAGGTTTCGTGGTTGACGAAAACCGCGCCCAAAAACCACCCACTACACTTAGAAGCCGAGACCCACCGAGCTCGAACAACGCCCATTTTCAAATATTCAATTCAAACAAGGATTAATAAAATTTGTAATTTAAGCAAAACCCAGATCAAGTTGAGCAAGAACAGTCAAACCCATAATTTTAATGGCAACAAAATCGAAAAGGGAAGAAAAAAATGGGCCCAGCGAGGAAGAAGAAGAAGAAGAAGCGGTTTTGTGGAAGGAAGAAGAAAACCACAGAAATGGTAATGGCGGTAATAATGGCAATCGAGCTGCTGGATAAGAACTTCTATCCATTCCGTATATAAAAACCCTTTCTCCTCTTCCAATCTTCACACCATTCCATTTCACATTCCCCCTCTTTATTTCCCGAGGTTCGTTTATTCTCATTTCCCTTTGCTCTGTTTTCTTTGTTGTTCTTCATTCATTGCTCATTGTTGTTCTGATCTGAGGGTTTATTTGTGGATAAACCCAGTTTCGATTTCTTTTGATGATTTTGCTGATAAGTTGAAGTTGTGTATTTGTTCTTCTACTTGTAAATCTCTCTGTGTTTCTCTTGTTCTTCCATGTTCTTCTTTGTGTTCTACTGAGGTTTCTCTGCTCTGTTCTAAGACTCTTGAGTTTCTTCACTGGAGAAGAGAGTTCATGATGGTCAAACGGCTTGAAATCTTGATCTTCTTCATCGCTGGAGATCAAAACAGTTTGATTTGGGATGAAATGGAATATTCACATACTTTGATGTTTTCTTTTTGCAGCTGAAACAAACCAAGATTTTTCTGAGATATCTGTTCATCCTCCAAGAAGGTAGCCATGGCAGAACGAGTCCTCAACCGTGTTCATAGCCTCCGCGAGCGCTTGGATGAAACTCTAGTCACTCAACGAAATGAAATCCTAAGCCTCCTCTCTAAGTACTTTGTTTAGATCATCTTGCATTTTTGCTGGATCATGATCTTCCAAGCGTTATAATGGCAGCTAAATCAAACTTTGACTTGTTTGTAGGATTGAAGCCAAGGGAAAAGGCATCTTGCAGCATCATCAACTGATTGCTGAGTTTGAAACAATTCCTGAAGAGAATCGAAAGAAACTTGCTGATGGGGCATTTGGCGAAGTCCTGAGATCCACTCAGGTTTATAAATTTGATCTCTTTTGAGACCTGTAGCGTTGTGATATGCAGTTTCTCAAATTTGAAGTGACTTTCATGGTGCAGGAATCCATAGTTTTGCCCCCATGGGTGGCTCTTGCTGTTCGTCCTAGGCCCGGTGTGTGGGAATATATTCGAGTTAACGTCCACGCCCTGGTCGTTGAACAGCTTCAAGTTGCTGAATATCTGCACTTCAAAGAAGAACTTGTAGATGAAAGGTAAAGCTTTTAAAAGTTTCTGATCCTTCAAGTTGAAATAAAGCTGGTTTGGTTGTGAAATCTTAATACCTTTTGGCCATTGTATTTCCAGTCTGAACGGAAACTTCGTTCTCGAGCTCGATTTTGAGCCATTTACTGCTTCCTTCCCTCGCCCCACGCTCTCCAAGTCCATCGGCAATGGCGTCGAGTTCCTCAACCGTCACCTCTCTGCAAAGCTCTTCCATGGCAAAGAGAGCTTGCAGCCATTGCTGGACTTCCTCAGAGTTCACTGTCACAAAGGAAAGGTAATTCATTCACATCGCATTCTTTATCTCTTGATTCAGCATTGAATTGGTACTTGTTTTTATTGCAGACAATGATGTTGAACGATAGAATTCAGACCCTGAATGCCTTCCAACATGTGCTGAGGAAGGCAGAGGAGTATCTAGTAACACTTGCACCTGAAACACCCTACTCCGAGTTTGCGCTGAAGTTCCAGGAGATTGGCCTCGAGAGAGGGTGGGGAGACACCGCCGAGCGTGTACTTGAAATGATCCAACTTCTTTTGGATCTCCTCGAGGCCCCTGATCCTTGCACCCTCGAGAAGTTCCTTGGTAGAATCCCCATGGTCTTTAACGTTGTAATCCTTTCGCCCCACGGTTACTTCGCACAAGATAACGTCTTGGGTTACCCCGACACTGGTGGCCAGGTTAGTTTTGTCAAGACAAAGAACAAACATTGTGTGTTCTTTTGTTCTTCTAAACTGACGTTCATTGATTTCTTTGATGTAGGTGGTTTACATCTTGGACCAAGTTCGTGCTTTGGAGCATGAAATGCTTCAACGTATAAAGCACCAAGGATTGGACATAACTCCTCGTATTCTCATTGTAATGTCAAGATCTTGGCCACTTCTCCTTTAAATTTAGATGCTCATGCTAACCTTCTCCACACTTGGTTTGATGATTGATTGTCCTGTTCTTGTTTTTATTGATATCAGATCACCAGACTCCTCCCAGATGCAGTAGGAACAACCTGCACACAACGTCTCGAAAAAGTATACGGAACGGATTACGCCCACATTCTTCGAGTCCCATTCAGAAATGAGAAAGGGATCGTCCGAAAGTGGATCTCAAGATTCGAAGTCTGGCCTTACCTAGAGACTTACACCGAGGTGATTCTATCGCCCCTATTGTGATGATTCCGCCGCTCCTGTCCTTTGTGCCTGCTTCTTTGATTATATACTGAACCAAACCATCCTTGTGTTTGTCAGGATGTTGCACAGGAACTTGCCAAAGAGTTGCAGGGAAAGCCCGATCTGATCATCGGAAACTACAGCGATGGCAATATCGTTGCCTCGTTGCTGGCACATAAACTTGGAGTTACACAGGTTTGTGACATATCCAAAAACTCTTCTTGTTTCTTCTTCTTGTTGGCAAATGCTCATGAACTTGCATTTTCTGTTCTTGTTTCTTTTGCAGTGTACTATTGCTCACGCCTTGGAGAAAACCAAATACCCTGATTCAGATATCTATTGGAAGAAATTTGAGGGCAAGTATCACTTCTCATGCCAATTCACAGCTGATCTTATTGCCATGAACCATACCGATTTCATCATCACGAGTACGTTCCAAGAGATTGCTGGCAGGTAAGAGTTTGATTCTCGTTGATGGTCTCTGGTTATATGTGTTTGATCTTACACATGAATTCTTTTGGATCTCAGCAAAGATACTGTTGGACAATATGAGAGTCACACTGCCTTCACTCTTCCGGGGCTCTACCGGGTCGTTCATGGAATCGACGTGTTCGATCCCAAGTTCAACATAGTTTCACCTGGAGCAGATATGAGCATCTACTTCCCTTACACAGAGACAGAGAAGAGGCTGACTTCCTTCCAGCCTGAAATTGAAGAGCTTCTTTATAGCCAAGTTGAGAATGAAGAACACTTGTGTGTATTGAAAGATCGTTCCAAGCCGATCATATTCACAATGGCGAGATTGGATCGTGTCAAGAACATAACCGGACTCGTCGAGTGGTATGGGAAGAACAAGCGCCTTAGGGAGCTGGTTAACCTTGTGATTGTGGCTGGTGACCGGAGGAAGGAATCTAAGGACAATGAAGAGAAGGATGAAATGAAGAAGATGTATAGCTTAATAGAGACCTACAACTTGAACGGCCAATTCAGATGGATTTCGGCACAGATGAACCGAGTACGAAACGGCGAACTCTACCGATGCATTGCAGACACGAAGGGAGCTTTCGTGCAGCCTGCCGTGTACGAAGCGTTCGGTTTGACAGTTGTGGAGGCCATGACTTGTGGATTACCTACATTTGCTACTTGTAATGGAGGCCCTGCTGAGATCATTGTCAATGGTAAATCTGGCTTCCATATCGATCCATACCACGGTGATCAGGCTGCTGAAATCCTTGTGAACTTCTTCGAAAAGAGCAAGGAAGATCCAACACACTGGGATAAAATCTCCCAAGCAGGCCTCCAACGCATCTACGAAAAGTAAGTAAATCACTTCAAACTTCACTCGATTTGTTCTTCAGCTACTCGAGCTAATGAATCCTTACAATGTTCATCAGGTACACATGGCAGATCTACTCGGATAGGCTTCTAACGCTGACCGGAGTTTATGGCTTCTGGAAGCACGTATCCAACCTCGACCGCCTCGAGAGCCGCCGTTATTTGGAAATGTTTTACGCCCTCAAGTACCGCAAGCTGGTAAGTAATCACACGCAACAAGATCTTTAGCTAAAAGGTAGATTAGCAGATGTGTACTGATTCGTGGAAATTTTGCAGGCTGATTCTGTGCCACTGGCTGTGGATGAATGAAGATCTTGTAAGGAAAATGAAAGAGGGGAGCATCGGTAATAGAGAAAGAGTTGCTTCTGATTTCCACAAGAATCGTTAATAAAAGAGCTATGTGGATGCTTCCTGCAAATGTGAATAATTCAACGAAGAGTTTCTTGTTTCTGTCATTGATTTCTTCTTGTTTCTTGTACTAATTCGTTGTTCTGAACCAGTCATCAATTCGAGTATTATTGTCTTTTCGATTTCTTTTCCTCCATTCAACATCTCTGCAATAATCAAACAGAATGCATAAACAGATCAGCGCATAAACCCTAAAAGATAATCAATCAGAACGTATTCTTATCCAGGAAAACAAAAAAGTCTCTGGCAATCGACAGTTCGATCTCTGAGACTCGAATTTAATCGAACAGGATGAATGTCGTGTGCAAGTTTTGAGGCGATATTTCCAACCGGCTTCCGATTCGTGGTCTGGAGCTGCATCACCGGCCGGCGCCGCCTGACGGAGTCAGAACTGAAAATGATGGACATTGAAGAAGATCTCGTAGCTCTCTTTTCTCTCGCTCGCTTTTACTGTTTCAGATTATAAAAAAAAAAAAAAAGGGTGGCGGGTAAGTTTAGTCTAATCCACTATAAAAGGGCCCTTTGTTCTCTGTCTGTTTCTGAAATTCTCTCATCCGCTAATTTCCGCCTTCAATTTTTCTTTTGAATTCCTCTCTGCTTCTTCTTCTTCTTCTTCTTCGCTTCTATCTTCCCACTCCCATTAGGGTTCCTTCGGATTTTCCCTCTCCAAGTATTCCTCTACTTGGATTCCATCAACTGTCCGGATCGTTCAAACTTCCGGCGAAATGGCCGACGAGTCCTCAGTCAGAGCAGACCTGTGGTGAAATTCGCGCCAATTTTCGTGCCCTCTGGTACGTTTTCTTCGCCTTACTCTCGATTTTTGTTGTTATTACCTGTGTTTGTGCTTTCCGTTTTTCTTATCTATAGCTGCTTTTGCTTCGTGTAAAACTCACTACCAATTCGTAGTAGATATTGTCATATTCGATTATCAAATCTGTTGGTTTAGGGGATTTACAATTCTTTAGGTTTCTAACTCAAACTAATTACGACTTCGATTTGATATGACTGGATTTGGTGGGCTAAAATACTCTCCTGGGCTGGAAATCATTTGTGTTCTTGCTGGAAATCTAGTTTTTCATGATCAAAGAAAACATGAGGAAATTGATTTTCATTTCATCTGGTTGAAGGCTTTCATAAATTGCATTCCTCCTGTTTTTGTTTTCAATGGCATCTCAAGGTTTACAGAATCCTAGCAAAAGTATGTATATATGCATATTCTACAGCCCTTGTACTGAATTAGACAATACTGTTAAATGAAATGATGTTTCAGCTCGACTCAAGAGATTCAAGTGACATTTCGCTCTACTAGAGACATAAGTGTTCGACAATTGTTCGGACTTGGCAAAGGTTGTCACTGCTAATTCATTTACTCTCCTGTAAATACTTAAGATCTTAGGATCTTAGCAAAGACTGATGGCTATACCGATGAAAGAAAGATAGTGGTTCACCGCCCCACATGTGGAGCCCAGATTACTAAAGTATATCCAGATCAACGAGTGGTTAAACAATTAGTTTAAATCCTCAAGAGTTTTAAGTGAATTTGTCAACCTGTTCTCTGAACGTCTCCATATTTAGAAATTGGAAAATGTCATCACTTCTTGCCCTTCAGCTCAGTGCATCCCCGATCAACTCCCCGAAAGTTCACACATCACCTATCCATGGCCTTAAGTCATGCTCATCCATGTCTGAGCTCAAGCAATATCACTCCCAGATTATCCGTCTTGGTCTTTCTACTGACAATGATGCCATGGGTCGTCTTGTCAAATTCTGTGCTGTATGCAAGAATGGAGACCTTGATTATGCACTTCTTTTGTTCAAGACAATCCCCAACCCAGATGCATACATCTACAATACCTTAATAAGAGGCTACTTACAACTCCAATTCCCTAGAGCTTGCTTACTGTTGTATTTGGAAATGCTGCATAAGTGTGTCCTTCCCAATAAATTTACATTTCCTTCTCTAATTCGTGCTTGCTGCATCGATAATGCTATTGAGGAAGGGAAGCAAATTCATGCACATGTTCTTAAATTTGGCTTCAGAGCAGATAGATTTTCTCAGAACAATTTAATTCATATGTATGCTAATTTTCAATCCTTGGAAGAAGCCAGAAGGGTCTTCGATGGTATTGAGCTACCCGATGTTGTGTCATGGACCACTTTGCTTACTGGGTATGCTCAGTGTGGATTTCTAGATGAAGCCTTACAAGTTTTCGAGTCAATGCCCGAGCACAGCTCTGCTTCCTGGAACGCCATGATTTCTTCTTTTGTCCAAAACAATCGATTTCATGAAGCATTTGCTTTGTTTAATCGGATGAGGTCGGAGAAGATTGTGTTGGACAAATACATGGCTGCTAGCATGTTATCAGCTTGCACAGGATTGGGAGCGCTTGAACAAGGAATATGGATACACAGATACATCAAGAAAAGTGAGATTAAATTAGACTCGAAACTAGCAACAACGCTCATCGACATGTATTGTAAATGCGGTTGCCTGGATCGTGCTTTTGAAGTGTTCACTCAGTTGCCTGAAAAGGGCATTTCTTCATGGAATTGCATGATTGGAGGGATGGCTATGCACGGGAAAGGAGAGGCAGCCATTGAGCTTTTCAAAGACATGGAGACCAAAATGGTGACACCAGACAACATAACTTTCCTTAATGTTCTCAATGCTTGTGCTCACTCCGGGTTAGTTGAAAAGGGACGCTACTATTTCAATCATTTCTCTCAAGTTTATGATATTAAACCCAGAACCGAGCATTATGGATGCATGGTTGATTTATATGGACGATCCGGGATGCTAGACGAAGCGATGAAGCTCATACGTGAGATGCCAATGAGTCCGGACGCCGGAGTGTTAGGTGCCTTCGTTGGAGCATGTAAAATCCATGGGAACATAGATATGGGGGAGGAAATAGGCAAGAGAGTAATAGAACTAGATCCAAGCAATAGCGGGCGCTACGTTCTACTCGGAAATCTGTACGCCGAGGCCGGTAGATGGGACAGTGTAGCAGAAGTAAGAAAACTAATGAATGATAGAGAAGTGAAGAAGGCTGCTGGGTTTTCGATGATTGAATTGGAGGGTGTGGTGCATGAATTCATTGCAGGAGGAAGGGGTCACCCAGAAGCCAAGGAAATATATGGCAAAGTGAATGAGATGATAGAATGTATAAGATGTGTAGGATATGTAACCGAGGAGGAGGAGGAGGAGGAGGTGGAGAAGGATAACCCTGTTTACTACCATAGTGAGAAACTGGCAGTTGCTTTTGGGTTGCTCAAGACTCAAGCAGGGGAAACGCTTCGAATCACTAAGAATCTGCGTGTCTGTAAGGATTGTCACCAAGCTCTTAAGCTTGTTTCTAAGGTGTTTGAACGAAAATTCATTGTTAGAGATAGAAATCGTTTCCATCATTTTGCTGATGGAGAGTGTTCTTGTAATGATTATTGGTAAACCTAATTTCAAGTTCCCTCTCCTAACTTAGCTCTTGATCCTTTATAAACGTTTCAAAATGAGATCCTTAAAAAGTTGAAAATACAATTTGGGACTTGCAATGCCGTAGTTGAGACCGAAAGCAATGTAGCCATCCAAATTTTGGTTATAGATCACTGTTTTAACAGCTCAAGCTCATTCCTAACAAATATTGTTATTGTCTTTTTTGGGTTTTCTCTTTTAGGACAAGTCGATTAAGGAGAGGTTTTCATGTCTTTATTAAGAATGTTTAGTTCCCCTCTCCCATGGATATGGGATCTCAAATCCACCCCTTTTTGACACTCATTCCTCTCTCTAATTGATGCAGGATCTCACAATCAACTAACATTTTTTATAAGAAACGCGTATCTAATCGACTCATTTTAAAAACCTTAAGGGTAAGTCCAAAAACGAAAGCAACGAGGAGTGTCATACCATTTTAGGTTAAGATTTTTTTTTAATTAATTTTATGTTTTAAAACTTTATAGGTATTTTTAGAACATGTTTCTTTCTTTGATTTTATATAAATTAAAAAAAAAAAAAAAAAAGAATTATTGAGAATAGGAAGTGAATTCAAAACACGTGTGATCTAGAGTTCAATAAAATGTAGGTGCCGCCATGAATTGAATTCAAAAACCCTATCAAACTAAAATTCAAATAAAACCCTCCATGAAAATCTCTTCTAGATTCTCATTTCAATTTTAATTTCAACAATCTCAAAATTATATATATATATATATAATAATAATATTAGTGTATTTTAATCTCCAACCTTAAAGAACGGAGTACATGATAATTACCGTTAAGTTATATATTTCACTTTAGCCTGAGTCGATATATACACCCGTCAATTAATAATTTCAATATAGTTGACATCATCGACCCACCAAGACTGATACCCTTCATACTTTTCTTTTGAAAATATAAAAAGAAAATTAGCCCTCACAAATTTCTTTTAATTGGTCTCACCATGTGTTGTATTTAATTATGGAAAAATTTTAAAATAATAAAGAAAATAATAATTATTGTTATTATTTATTTTTGTCATTGTGTTTTTTGGTAATTTCACGTCTCCCTTTATTTAATGTAATATTTGACATTCAATATAGGTTTGCTTAAATGTGGAGCTTACAAATTATACATAACAAGTATGAATTACTTAGAAAGTCACTAATTCTTCAAGAAAAAGTCCTTCTTTGGAAAATTAAATCCTTATATATTCTTCAACCTTACCCCATTTTCACATTTTATTATTTTCTAAATTTTTTAAATCTTCTCGTTGAAATAATCAAATTTCAAAAAATGTTTGAACGTCCACAAAATAAAGTCAAAATCCAAAACTTGAGCTGGATCATGAACTTATTAGAACTCGGTTAATAAATTGAGTTTAACCCAATCAACCCGAATTGACCCAACTCAAAAAAACTCATGGTTGAACTGGATTGGGTTCATTATTTAATAAAAGTCGTTTGAGCTACAACTCAATCCAATTTAACCCATGAACAGTGAATTTATATTTTAATTTTTTAAAATTAAACTTATAAGTGTCGTATTTTCAAAGTTTTCCACCCGACATAACATATTGATATTTTTTATAAATTTTGAAAATGTCAATATAAACACAAAATTGTTATCCTAAAAGATTCTTCACATAAAATTATATTCATGAATTTGGAATAATAATAATGTAGTTAGCCTAAGTTATTATTTGTATTATATGTCAGCTTGTCGCATCAAATATTATTCTGATATTTATTATATGATATTGAAATTTAAAAAATAACTCTCAATACCAAACCCAAAGTTTTACAAAATAAAAAAATTGGAATAATTTACACGTTAATAAATTATAGAAGCTTAATAAATAATTTAAAAAGAATCATAGATTATGGGTATTATGATATGAAATTATATTATTCATTTAATATTAATTAATTAATTAATTAAGTCAAATAGAGTTTGAATAATTCATTAACCATTTCGTGAATTTTAGTTCGAGAAATTGGAAATTGTCAAAATTCTATTAAAAAAATTAAATAAACTCACAAATTCCACGACCGTACGAGATTACAACGTAATTAAGCGTTGATTCAATGCTATTTTTTAATATAAAAAATCCACTTTTTAATATTAAAACTTCCACCCAAAAATAATAATAATATATTTTTTAATTGCAATTGATTCCCGACCAATAAGTTAGAAGCACGTGTATATTTTCGGGTCAGTGACTTGAGCAACCCGAATAGAGTTTACAACTCAACCCTCTATTTGTTGGATTGAATTAAGTTGTTGGGTTTTTTTTTAAATAAAAAATCTTATCCACAAGTTGGGGTTGACCCGGTTGACTTTAAAAAATGTCAACTCATGAATCAACCCGAATTTTCGATTTTCTTAACGTTCAACCTAACCCCAGATCGAAAAAAAAAAAAACTAACCCAAACTAGATAATCCGAGTTGGTCAAATTAAAAGTTTGTGTACTTTGATTAGATGAAGAATTGAGGGAGAACGAGGAGAAAAATTTATTCACTGACTAAACAAGAATTGAGACGGGAAAACATGCAATGTTACTGTATTAAACCATTGTACAGTTCCATAATTTAGGTAATGTTTGACTTTTTTAGTTCGGTTTTGATATCGAATCTTTTTTTTCACCTACTTAAATTTGATTAAGATACTTAATCATTTTTAAGGCATTTTTTAAGTTGAATTTGTGATTTATTCATTAATTAATTCGCCCATAAACATTTTTAAATTCAGTTTTGAAAAAGTACTAACTGTACAAACTCCCTTTAATTTAATGAAATTAAGTCTAAGGCAAAAGTCAAGTCTATTGAAAAATTCAATTTTCTTTTAATTAATTATTTTCTAAAAAATAAAAAATTAGCAAATTTTAAGGTTAATTTACCAATCACAGTTATGATTCAAACCTCTTACCTCTAAATCAAATATACATACCAAAATATTTAAACTATTTGAATTAATTAAAATAATAATATTTTATTCCAAAAAAATCATTTTATTTATTGTCATTTATTTTCCCTTCCATTAAAATAATTCATATACTTATAAATAAAAAATTTCCCTCTTGAATGCAATTTTGACTATTTCTCATTCATTTATATATATATATATATATATATATATATATATATATTTATTTATTTATTTATTTATTTATTTATTTATTTATATACCCATTTGTTAAGTATACTCCAAACTATTTCCAAAATGTTAATAAATATTAAATAGGTTGCTTTAATCAACTTTAAAGAGCCATTTTGAGAAACAAAATTTGGTTAATATAGTAATTAATTTTAAACAAGAAGAAAAGATTCTTGCTATTACATTATAATGTTTCTATCAACTTTTCGAGCTTCTAGTTACGGTAAGAGTCATAATTCATATAACAATTAAATTTCGTAGATGAGGTGGCAACCTAGACGATAGCGTCTTCCCACGACTATTCAAATATTGAACGAAAGCACGGGTCTTTTGATAGAAGGCTATTCAGAGACGAGGATGAGTTCGGGAGGGTTTTATTTGACCTAATTTTAAAATTTTAAAGACTAAACTCATCGTTTAACTGTAATAGCTCAAGCTCACTGCTAGTAGATATTGTCCATTTTGACCCATTACGTATCGTCGTTTGCTTCATAGTTAGATAGAGGTTTCCACACCCTTATAAGAAATGTTTTGTTCCCCTCTTCAAACGATATGGGGATTTTACAGTTTGAGCTGTTACGTTAACTCAACTACCGATGTGTATGTATAGATACAGTGTACGATTGAATATAAAACTGCAATTAATTCCCGAGCTATGAATTAGTATGCGTTCACACGTGTACACACACGCGCTATATATATATATTGAAAAATATTGGTGTGTGAATATGGAAAGAAATTCAATAGAGACATGAAATCATACATAGACTATAGATTGAATAAAATTTAAGGAAAATTCTTCAAGGTTGAATCTTATTTAAATTATATATAAAGGATATATCACGTGCCCGTCACGTGCCTCCAACTGCCTATATAAACGCTACTTCGTCCTTTCCATTTCCCCAAGTCACATCAAATTTCAAACTAAATTCAAGTCCCTAATGGCTCCTATTCTCTCCAAAATCGCCATCGTCGGCGCCGGTGTAAGCGGCATCGCCGCCGCCAAGCAACTATCTCACCACCAGCCGGTCGTCTTCGAGGCCACTGATTGCATCGGCGGAGTTTGGAAGCATTGTTCTTATCGCTCCACGAAGCTTCAGTCGCCTCGCTGCGATTACGAGTTCGCCGATTTCCCCTGGCCGAACAGAGAAAACGCCGATTTTCCTTCTCATCTCGAGATTTTGGAGTATTTAGATTCCTACGCTAGTCATTTCGATCTCCGCCGCTTCATTCGATTCAATTCGAAAGTCGTAGCCATTCGATTCATAAGCGATGTTTCCGCTAATGGAGACTCCGGCGAGTACGGAGTGTTGCTCCCTGGTCGTCCTGTTTGGGAGATTTCTGTTATGGATACTGAATCTGGAACTATTCAGGTTGCGAATAGCTTGATTTCTTGATTCACTCTGCTAATTTCGTTAGGGCTTTTTTTTTGAAGTTTTGATTGTAGAAATAAGTTCTTCTTCGGCTACTCTTTTTTTAATTTAATCTTCAAATCCAACGCAGTTGTATAAGGTAGAGATGGTTGTGATGTGCATCGGGAAGTATGGCGATATCGCAAGGCTTCCGGAGTTTCCGAGCGGCAGAGGACCGGAGAAATTCGCCGGGAAGGTGATGCACTCTCTGGATTATTGCAAGCTTGGGAAGGAAGAAGCAAGGGAGTTGGTGAAGGGCAAGAGAGTTGCAGTCATTGGCTACAAGAAATCGGCCATTGATTTGGCTGTTGAATGCGCCGAAACAAATGAAGGTACCTAATGAATTAATATCATATTATTATTAATAATTTATTAATTTATTATTAAATGAAGGTGAAGAAGAAGGAAAATCGTGTACAATGGTGGTGAGAGGGTTACACTGGACAGTGCCACATTATTGGGTTTGGGGTTTGCCATTCTTCTTCTTCTTCTCCACGAGATCTTCTCAGTTCCTCCATGAAAGACCTAACCAGACCTTCCTCAAGACTCTCATCTGCCTCCTCTTGTCTCCCATCGTAATTTTAACTCTCTCTCTTATCTCTAATTATTATTACCTTTTTACCCTGGATTGGATTGATAGAAAAAAAACTAGTACATGTCAATTACACTAACTACTCTAACCCTAACTTGCAAGACTCGAACTAATTATGTTAATTATGTTATCAATGTGTTAATGCACAAAATTAGTTATCTATTTATTAAAAAAAATATATATATATAATGACACCCAAATGATTATCTTTTAACCTCGAGGCTAAATATAAATTATTCTAAAGTTAAATTATATGTTTTTTTTTATCTTTTACGTCTGTGTCTTTTGATTCTTAATTTATGAAGTTTGTTTCAAAGGATATAATAATTTAATTAATTTTTAAAATTGTTAAATATAAAAAATGAAAATTAAGAAACTCATTAAAGATGAAAAAAAGAAATTAGAATTTTAGGATGCAATTTTATATTCAATAAATAGAAGTATTTTTAAAATATAGTAAATTTATTAGACACAAAAAGGATTTATTGATTATTTTTAGAAGAAAAAAAAAGATTAGAGTGATGGGGGTAAGTGGGTAAATTTGTATGGAACAGAAGCAGGGAGTTTCGAAGTTCATAGAATCATATCTGACGTGGAAGATGCCACTGGAGAAGTACGGGTTGAAGCCGGAGCATCCATTTCTGGAGGACTACGCCTCCTGCCAGATGGCAATCATGCCGGAAACCTTTTTCCGCCACGCCGACGAGGGTAAAATCGTCATTAAAAAAGCCTCCAAGTGGTGCTTCTGGAACGGCGGCATCGAGTTTGACGACGGCTCTAGGTCGGAGTTCGACGTCGTCATTATGGCCACCGGCTTCGACGGCAAGAAAAAGCTCAACGACATTTTTCCGCCGCAGTTTCGAACCTTTCTTCACTATCCTTCCGGCATGATGCCCTTATACCGGTGGGTCACTTTTTTTTTTTATTATTATTCTAATTATTAGTGAAATTAAAAGTTACCATTTTAATATATATATATATATTTAAAAAGAATATATTGTTTAATTAATTAATTTATTTATTACCATTTTAAAAAAAAATATGGAATTCTTATAAATATCATAAAATCAAAAACCCATTTATCATGAGTTATTTATTTATTTATTTATTACCATTTTATGATACCCTAAACCCTAAATACCTTGTTAATTATCATAATTGATTTATTTCAAATAATTATCATTAAATTTAAATCTCTAACTCTAAAAATGTTATATTTACTATCAACCGTAAGAGCTTTAATTTTAATTTTAATTTAATTTCTATACTTCAATTTTAATTTGTTTTTTTTTTTTTTTTTTTTTTTTTTTTTTTTTTTTTTTTTTTTTTTTTTTTTGCTGATTTTGCTTTAAATTTTTGTTAATGAATAATTAAAATAATGCACTTTGATTTAAATAAAACTAATAAATCATAACATAAATTTATAATTTAACTTGAAACCCTAAAGTTTTATAAATTTAACTGAAGAACACTAAAACATGAATCATAGTTGAATGAATAAAATATCTATTATTTAGGGGTACGATCAATCCAATGATACCGAACATGGCGTTCGTGGGATATTTGGAGAGCGTGGCCAACCTGCACACGGCGGAGATACGGAGCATATGGCTAGCCCGATTGGTGGACGAGAAGTTGAAGCTGCCCGAGACCCGAAAAATGGTGGAGCAAATAAACGAAGAAATGGAGGTGATGAAGAGGACGACAAGGTTCTACAAAAGGCATTGCATATCAACTTATAGTATCAATCACAGTGATCAAATGTGTGAGGAAATGGGATGGAACCCTTGGAGGAAGAACACTTGGTTCTCTGAAGCTTTCTCTCCTTATGGCAGCCAAGACTACAACAAAACCACCACCAAATAAATTCAACTATCCTCTATATATATATATATATATATATATATATATATATATTATATATATATACACACACACATTATTTACACTTGTTATTCCATAAAGTTTTCGTGTCTTGTGTTTTAAGGTCTTTTTTATTTCGTAACGTTTTTTTTATCGTACCCTTTTTGTAGTTGAATATAAAAATTGGTTGATGTTATATAAATTTATGTCGTATAATCCAAACTTTATATAAATTGGTTGATGTTATAAAAATTGGTTGATGTTATATAAATTTATGTCGTATATAAAAGAGGACAATATGAATAGAACGCCAAACACAGTCCAAATAGGACAATATGAATGGAAAGCCAAACAGTACAATATCTGCTAGTGATGAGAGAGCCTAAAGAAAAGCTCAAAGAAAATAATATATGTTAGCGGTGGACTTGTATCGTAACAATTTATGTTCAAGTTAGAGTCGTTCATCACGTGTATTGGTTGAACACTTGTCCGTACACAATTATTAGTGATGGAAGAATAAAAAAAATGGTACACAAATGCGTCGGCAAAGGCCCATTCATGATCATATTTTTGCCTAGACTTGCAAAACTGCGCGCAGCATTGTTTGTAAATATAAGAACATATAAATGATTAATAGAAGAGATCAACTGAGAGAGAGGAGAGGCTTCCTGGAAAGCTCAAGAAATTGATCGGTTTGGAACAACAACAACAAGAATCAACCAAAACTTTATCCAAAAACAAACATGAGACAACATAATCAGCCATGGCATTGAGATGACACCGGGAGAAGGGACAGCCTTGGAGGTGGTAGAACCCATTTGTTTCCATGGATATAAGTCATACTCAAAAACGCCTTCGCTTCGTCGTCCGTGAGTATTCTCGTGTAGTGTGCTCGTCCTGTGCTGTCTGCCCCGGGTCCTTTGCATTTGTACTCTCCGTAGTACATACTCCTGTCAACACGGTCGATAATCAAAATTAATCAATCAATTAGCAATAAGGTGATAGTGACGATGATGATGATGATGATATGTGCGTGGTTTTGCTCACTTTCGAGGTTCGGTTCCCTGCATTTTATCGGACCATCCTTGGGTGTTAATGAGAGTTCCCATGTAAGTGTAAGCAAAAACCACACGAGTTCTCTCCTTCCATGCTCTTCCCAAATAGGTGTTTCCAGTTCCAGTGATGTTGCAATATGCAAATGTGAAGCCGCTTTCGTCTGTGGAATTTTCCCTTGCTTGAGCTGTGATCACTCCTGTCCCTTCCGCCACTGAATTTATTACTGTTTTCTGTCACAAACACATACACATATATGGATGAAATGGTTGATGACAACAAATGGATATAAATTTGGAATATTTTTGCATAGTACCTCCAACAACATCGGTTAGATCAACAATGGTCGACCACATTGTAACAGACTTATTGAATAATTTGTTCACGAGTAAAAATAGATACCTACTCACCAGCTCGATGATCGTGATGGATTAACCGTTGATAGAAATTTTAGATGAAGAATTAGGTAATGAATAATTTCTTTGTGAGTAGAAAAATAGATACCTACTTATCAATGATAGTAAAAATAAATACCCACTTACCAGATAGATGATCATGATGGTTTATACGAAGAATTAGGTAATGTAAGAGAAAATATTGATTATATTTTTGTGTTAAAAGTTGGGTTAGTTAATTTGTAAGTGTAGGAAGATTGGAGGAGATTTTTACCAAGTAGAGGGATTTGCCATTTCCAAAGATGAAGTCCACAGTGCCTTCGATGTAACAATCCTTGAAAAAATGTCTGCCTCTGTCATCGCATAAAGTGTCCTGAAACCCTATGAATTGGCAGTGGTGGAATGCTGCCTTATCCCCTGATATCCTCATTGCCACTGCTTGTCCTCCTGTTCTTCCCGCATCCGGCATTGGAGCTGAATTCTGCATCAACAAATTCATCATACCCTATCTTCATTTCTTGTTATTCACTACAATTTCATTTTCATTCAAAACACGGTATGAGATCGTACAATTTTGAACTCGAAAGGTTAGTGTGGAATCGAACTAACGTGGAATCGAACTAACGTGGAATCGAACTAACGTGGAATCTCACAATTCACTTCCTTAGGGGCTCAGGGTCCTCGCTAGCACACAGCCTGGTGTCTATCTCCGATACCATTTGTAACAGTCAAGCCTACCACTAGCAGATATTGTCCTCTTGGACTTTCCCTCTCGGGGTTCCCTCAAGGTTTTTAATACGTGGAGAGAGGTTTCCAACCCCTTGTAAATGAATGTTTAGCTCTTCTCCAACTGATATGGCACATCTACTAAACTAATGAGAGGTTGTTTCCACACCCCTAAGAGGAATATAGCACATCTATTAGGATGAGGTTTCCACACTAGGAATGTAATGTTTCATCCTCCTCTCCAATCGTGGTTGCAATTGTACGATAATAAGTATTAAATTTCTTACCAATTTATGCATTTTTTTTATTACATAGATTCAAACTTTTGACATCTTAATCGATGATACATCCTATATATCAATTGAACGATCCTGACAACCAAATCATGACAGATTGTTATCTAAAATGAAACTACATATTTTCGAATCTACACCGAACAAGATTTCTAAGCAGGAATCTCATTCCAATCAACATGAGTGATTTAAAAACCTACAAATCTTTTATCCAACAAGGTATAGTCATCTCAAAAGGGAACTTTTCTAACAGAAATAACCAATTGTGCAAGAAAATGTCAAGATTTCAACGTGAAAACTCGTGCTTAATTTTGATGACAAATAAATGCATGAATTTTTTCCGGAAAAAAATATAAATAAATAATTAATTAGTACTTACGCAATAATACGTTACTAAAACTTTTTTGCGCCCCATAACTTTCACTATTTACAAAACTTACCCCACAAAAATGAGGAGAAGAAGAAGAGAAACTCACCACAAACGCAACATTGACGGCGACGAAATAATCCGATTCCACCGCCACNGTCGCGCTCTCGACTGTACCAAATTCCGACGCCGTTCCGTCGTACGATATGACCGGCATTTTTCCTGTCTGACCGTACAGCGTCACGAACGGCTTCGAAGAATCGATCGTGATCTTCTCGCGGTAAGTTCCACCGCCGATCCACACCACCACTCGCTCACTATTTCCGGACGGAATGCTCTCGATCGCTTGGGTGATCGTTGAGAAATTTCCTTGTCCGTCTTGTTTAACGGTGATCAGTCGAGCGCAATCCTCCGCCTTAGCAAGCCGCCGATCCAGCGCCTTGGCTCCTGTCTCTTTGGCCTTCCGTTGACGGTACTCTCTCATGTTGTGTGCGATCCATTCGTCGAGCTGCGATGGCTCTGCCGGAATCGGCTTCGTACGAGCTTCGACGACAATAGCTGCAGGAATAAGCATGGTGATGAGTTGTACCACCGCCAGTACGAGCGCCACCGTCGCCGGAAAAGATGAAGCAACGGCTGGCCGAGACATTCTCCCAAAACTCTCCTTGTGGGGGCGGTTTTTGGCCTTGAATGAATTCGAGGTGGGAGACCGTGGTGGTAGATATTTATAAACGCGAGGGGTAAAATGGGAATTTTGGATTATTATCCAAAGTCAATACGTGTTTGGTAATATTTGTGTTTTTATAGGATGGTTAGTTCTTTTTTTGGGGAGTGGGAATGTTTGGAGGAAATTGGTAACAAAAAATTTAAATTAAATTAAAATAAATAAATAATTAATTAATTCAACCGCTAAATTATACCAAATAACCAATCAAGGACTAACTCTTAGGACAGTTGGAAAAAACCCGATCAACTCATCCTAATCAGAACAATTTAAATAATCAAGTCAACTTATCACAGTCTGAATCGAACCGTCTGAGTTGGGTTATAAACTTATTGTTAAACTGAATTCAAATAAATGACAATTTTATAGATTCAGCTGTTCATCAGTTATCTGATAATAAAGTTGACTTAGAACCAACCCAAATTTATATATATTTAATTAATTTATTTATTTATATATATATATATATATATCTTATTTTTTAATTATAATATGAACTATTTTGAATTTATTTTTCAAACCTTGGAAAAAAAAAATAAAAAATCTCTTTAAAATTTTAGGTCAAGTAATCGAGAGTTCAAAAGTTTTTGTTTTTCTCTGAAATATATTGTGTATTATTAATAATAAAATCATCGATCATTTATACAATAATATATATCGTTAATACTATAATTATATTATTTTATAACGACTTATTTTAATTTTTTTTAAAAGATAATGGATTAGATTAAAATTTTTAAATAAATTTCCATTTATTTAATTTTAATCTTTGAAAAAAAATGGACACCAACCGTTTGTAGCAGTTAAGATTACGTTGAAACCTCAAACATTGCACCAACAACCCATTAACCAACCCATATGGGTCCTCTCACTCCCGCCCAATTTACTTTTTTTAGATATTTTATTTTAAAGAAATTCATTTTTTTTTTATTTTCATTATAATTTTAATTCATCCAATTAAATATTAAGAATATATAATAATGTACTTATTTCTAAATTAGATCGAGCAAATTATATTTACCCTTCTACAAGTGTTCATAATATAAAAGTCGGGCTGTGTTATAAGTTTTTCAGTTTGGGTTAGGTTGACTTTTTTTTTTTTTAAAAAAAGTTAAAAGTTCGGATCGGTTTGTGGGTTGATTTTTTTTATTGAGCCAACCAGACCAACCCGAAAATAGGGTTACAATTCAACCTAACCCTACTTTGTTTTAAAAATTATTATGAAGATTAAGAATATTTGACATTTATAACAGTGATACGTTGTATCTTAAGAGAGATACAAACTCTTTTGAATGACTAGAAAAATAGCAAACTGCACCACTAGCTTTAAGTATCTCTCAGAACCCTCGATTACTTGACCTAAAACTTAGAACTTGTCACGTTCTCGAGTGAAAATTAGGTTTAAGTGATGTCTCGAAAGCCGAGAAAGAAGGCCATCTCTTATTATCTCTCGATGAAATGACCAAAAAATGGAAGGGTTTTTTTTTTAACTTTTGAAGTATTGGTTCACATGTATTTTGGGTCCATATGAATGAAAAATAAAAATTATATATTTTTGTAGAGCTCACAATATTAGTAAAGGATGCAATAATTGACCACATGGGGTTTAAACCATATTTGTGAGGAATCTTTTGTACTCAATTATCATCCATCCATATTTGTA